CCCAATATCACATAATCATAAAGGCCCAGTTATGGCCCACCTATGGCCCAATTTTCCAAATTGGGCCCAAGTCCTTCACATGGGCCTTATCCTAAGGCCCATTCAATTATCTTAGTCCATTTAAGCCCATAATAGTCCAATCACCAAAACCCAATAGAAAGGCCCAACTCAAGGCCTAAGTGAAATTAGGGTTTCACATAAAATGACAATTAGGGTTAAGTGTTCCTACTTAACCCATTAAGGACTTAATCCATTAAGGACTTAATCCATTTATTGCCTTAGATTAATTTTCCAATGATTATTAATTAATATTTTAACTTTACTAAATAATTCTCGTTCGTGTTCCGATCAATTCCCAATATTGGGGTTTTAAGCCATTAGGGTTTTCCAAACCCTAATTAGGGTTTCCTACCCAATACTAGCCCATTAGTCAATTGGTTGGGCTTTTAGGTCACTTTGTGCCTCATTGGGCCCATTAGGGTTTTATTAGGTCGATTAGGGTTTCCATGGGCCCATTAGGGTTTCATTGGGTCCACTTTGTCCAAACATCCCCTAAACGAGTCAAACACAACAAGGCAAGCACACCGCCACCCGACACGACGGCCAATGGCGGCAGGAGGCGACAGCCACCACCTCACGGTGGTGGTTATGGCTTTTCTATTATTATTTCGGGCACCATTTACAATTTACAACTTATACCAAATAAAACACACACACACATACTAATAAAACACACACACACAGCCACCCCTGTGGTGGATGGCTATGGCACGTGGTGGAAGCCACCACCTCACGGTGGTAGTGGTGGTGACCTTCTCCGAATTCCGGCCAAACAAACACATACCCACGTGACCTATACTGAAACACACCCAGAGATACACACACATGCCCGGAACAGTGACACCACTACCCACCTAGGGGCGCACGATGGTGGCAGTGGGTTGAGCTTGCAAACGGCAGCAACGCTGGCAGTCGGCGGCAGTCATGACGATTGGCAACAGCTTGTGGTGAAACAGCCGCATGGAGGCGATGGCTACATAACTCAACAGCAGCCGGTTCAACTGCCCCTCCCACGACCACCCTATCAGTTATAATTCTCGTCTTTTCCGGCGAAGAGAGCAGTGGCTGTGGCGCGTCGGCAGGATGAAGGAAGAGAAGGGAGTCGATCGGAACAGCAGCAACGACAACCACACACTCCGCTGTGGCTCTGTCCTCCACATGGGCGACGCGACGACAGTAGAAGTTGAGAACTCGTCTTCGTCGTTGGCGGCGACAATGTTCTGTCGTGGTTTGCGTCCTCGAGTTCGCCAGTGACCGGAGTAGCGAAGGTTCACGCTATGGCGTGGAGATGGCAGCTGTGAAGGCATGAAGAAGAGGGTGGCGGCTGGGAATAGTGAAGTAGGGTTAGGGTTTACCGGTGGTATTAGGCTTAAATACCCGGATCCTTTAAGATCTATCCCATAATCACAGAAGTGGCCCCTCCTTCCATTATTCTTTCCAAATAAAGTCTGAAATTTATCTTTTTAACCCAGCCTCCTGAAATCCTTTACAAACTAAGTCTAATACTTACCAAATAGCCCCTTAGCCTCCAAAACCTTTTCAAAATAAATCCCAAAATTGCTTTTTAACCCTCGAATAATCTGATTTATAACATTTGGCTATAAAATAATATTAAATTTACATTTCGGGATTCCGGATTTATTATTTACTTATTTTATTTTAAACGGGATGTTACAACATCCCTCCCCGGGCTTCCAATGTGAATTCCGAAAAGACATGATGATGAACACCCTCAACAGAGCGTAAGAGACAACAAGTTAAATTAAATTGGAACCAAATGATCACACAATCAACCACAAAAATTACTAAGATTCGGCCCCGACCCTGCCGGCATTTGAATCCGTCGGAGAAGAAGGGATGAGGACAGTAGTCGGAGGCGCTAGGTCCGAATCGCCAGTGATTGATACTACACGATTCGAAATTTAAATGAGTAAGATAGAGTAACTCTTTTTTATATAGTATTAATCTTTTGTTATTTTTATTATATGATAACTATAAATATTTTTATTTAATTACTTTTGTTTGGTGTCAATAGTTTTGGAGGAAAAATAAAATATAGACATAATGACATATTATTTCCTAATATGGGTTGATTAAAATTTTTCAAATAACCAACATTTTTGCAATTAAGTGCAATATTGACTTGTTAACTACGAAATTTGCTTTTTGTGTGGTCCTCGCAAACAAAATAAAAAACCTAAAAAGTATATATACAACAAAAAATGTTTTTCGCATCCTATGGAATAGGTCTTTATAGACTGCGGATTTGGTCTCCTATACATAAGTAGCAAATATCCACCGTCTTCTCAACTTTGCCACTTTCAAACAACAAGGAGTTCCCAACTAGATGTAGAAATTTCTTTGTCTTTTTTTTTTTTCTCTATCTTTTTCTTTCCTTCGTCGTCATTCTTTTCCTTTAATTTCTTGCTATGAATTCAACATTTCTAGATTCTTCTTTCTATTTTTAGTTTTTCTTTTTGTAATTTCAATGCAATTACCTAATACGAATTACGAAGTTACCACGTTTGAATCTCGTAACTAAACGAAAAAGGAGAAGGAGAAATTAACCAAAAATATTGATCTTATCCTATGTTCTAAATTTCTTTTTGCTTACGTCTTTGATTTTCCATCCGTGGAAAATACCATCTTATCCTTTCTTTTTTCCCACGACACTTGATGCTTTTCAAGCTCAAAAAGGAACAAAAAGGAGAGAAAGCTATTATTAACATTTCTTTGTGGTTGCAATGAAAATGACTGAAAACGGAGTGTTTTCATGCTTAGACTGTTTTATTAAGTTTACTTTGACCGAAATTTGTAAATAGAAAAATTTTAAGTTTTTTAATGTTTGAATTTCAAATTAAAAATTTCAGTTCCGAAATATCTTTTCTTTAGCAAAAATGTGTTCTGCAACTCAAAAAGTTTTTTAATTTATGACAAATTTTGAAGTATTTTTTTTTAGAAAAAAAGTGTTTAGAAACTCTAAAAGTTTCGAAAAACGGACAAGTCATGACATACTTTTCCCGAACAAGGTGTTTTAAATAAACTTACATAATTTGTAATATTTAAACCACATTGTCATATCCTTTATATCGTTATAACTCTTTGTGGAATGTAGGGCGTATAACGTGTTCGGCAAAACTAGTTGATAGCGGGTAGTAAGTAGCGTGTAGTTGGTACCTAATAGTGTTTTGTTAAACGCTACGTGAGATAGTTTTAGATTTGAAACGTTTTGTTTAAACTAAATACTAAAAGTTTGTAGTGTTAAACGAGATTTTTTGTTCAAAACCGAGCGTTTTATCGAACGTTAGAAGCTACAAGCTTTCAAACGCTTTGTGTCAAACACTCTCATAAGCATTTTAAAGAGACAGTCATATTGTCTATAAGGTCGTGCGATCGCATAGAGTCTTGTCTTTTGAAGGTCCCATAATTTTGTTACGTATATTAGTATTAGCGGCAAATAATGACATATCCTTGACGGATTAGGACGGATTATTTACAAACTTTAATAACAGATCGGTGACAATTTTGTTTTGATTATTTTTTATAACATTTATCAACTCTTCATAGTATTAATGACTTTGTTTATATAAAAAAGTTATATTTAGAGACTATTTTTACTTTTCCACATTCAAAATCAACAAATTAGTCCCAATAACAAAAATAGAAGTACTTCATGATGACATAGATATTAGGTCATCTCCAATGGAAATGAACAAGGAGTTGAACCTCGTTAAAGTTCAAAATCTCCATTGTGCCTTAATGCTTTACCATTGTGGGTTATGACAATAGAATGGGGAGTTAAATCACCATTGAACTCTACTCTCTCTCTCTTTCACATAT